AGTCAGGTAGTCATTAACAACAGTAATCTACATCAAAAACAATTGGTTACTAACAAGGTTAGATAATCCCTTTAACTAATCAACTCACAATCAATTCTCCAATACATAATTACTATCTCTTAAAGGGTCGGATTCGGCATTTTCGGGGTTAATCGTAGGCCCTACCTTGGTCTAAAATACGGGAATTGTTTAGGAATCGGTTATTAGTATTCACAGCTTACCGCCGAAATTGGAGCTTTCTTGGCCATGTACATCCGTGTTCGAAAGTTAAAAAGACGAGTCGCTTTTCCGAGATTTTTCAATTTGAAAATATATTACTGACGTCATACTGTCACCTCGGCAGTAGAATGCTACTATAGTTATCCTCGTGTATTGAACGGGAGATAGCCATATTGAAAATAAAATGGTCCGGTTGTTGAGTGTCCTATTCAAAGTGTAAATGCTAGCTTCATTCGTGTTGCATTTCATTAGATTTAATATAGTTTACATATTATATACATTTTGCTTTTTATACGACCTCGTGAAATACTCGTTTATTGTCGTCATTCATGTCCGTCGCTCTGTCCACCATTTCTCGTAAACACTCTAGAAGGCACAATTCTAAACGGATTTGGGTGTTTGTTGTTACCAAAGGATAAACCCTATTAAAAATCTGCAGAATCGAAAAATATTTAATATGAGTTATTACCCTTGTACTTGAAAACGCTTTCAATTTCCAGATTTTGACGAAACTTGGTGTTAAGAGTGAAGAAGTTCCTAAAAACGTCTATGTAAAGCACTGGCCAAGGTCACAAATAAAGAGATAAATGTTCAATACAAGATAAGGTGAAGTTAGCATAGTTAGTATTAAGTTAAAAAAACAACCACGAGTAATCTACAATAAACAAAAGTCTATAATATGAAAGTTTTCTTGTTACCAGTTCTAAAAGAAAAGAGTATGAATAGGTTCTGAAAAGATATATATCTATATATAAGGATTAGAATATATTATACTTAATGAGCAAGAAAATAGAGAGGGGGGTCAAGTATTATTGGATTCAATGGGATCGAGTCTACCACGGACCAGAAAATTACTAAGGTTTTTATTGCGCTTATAGGCAATTACAAGTCGTTTGGTATATACATTCGGAAATCTGTTCTGTAATTCACTGTAATACTGTTTGACGATGGATGAGGTTTTGGCAGCTGTATGATTAAAGGTGGCAACAAATGGAATCATTTGATTATCATGCTGGATGTTAAGTCCAGTTGGAGCCACTGTTTGGAGTTGGTCCATCCAGTAGCTTTCTCTCAGTAATCGTTTGGTTTTTGGTCAGATCAGAGTCAGGAATTGATTCAATAGGCATGATAAGAAGGTCTTCAATGGAATGGTCAGGTAAATTAAAATGATGAGAAATTTGTCTATTTTTGCTATGAATTATATCAAAGCGATGGCCGCTAAATCGAGTTCGCAATGCGTTCTGGGTTTCGCTGACGTATTGTTTGTCACATTTTTTACATGAAATTAGGTAAATGATATTTTTATCCGTACACGTGAGACGTTCTTTAATTTCAAATTTTTTTCCGTTTTTTTTATTTTGAAAATAATGAGACATAGGGATATGTTCACAGGTGCGACACCGAGAACCTCTACATGGTATTGCGCCAAAGTTATTTATTGGAGGAGGGGGTTCATTAATTTTCAAAAGGTCCAAAACATTTTTAATTTTGCGCAAGAATCGTTTGGAGTAGCCCCTCTCTCTTAATTTACTGAAACTAGTCTACAAGCTGCATCAAAATCTACTTTTTGAGTGAAAATTCTAAAAAAACGCAAAATTTGTGATTTGATTATTCCCGTAAAAGTATGTTTTGGGTGAAAAGAGTTTTTATATAAAAGTTGGTGAGTATCTGTTGGTTTAAAAAGTACTTTGATGTCTAATTTGTTTGTTTGAGAGAAACTTGGTCCTTTGAATACCGTAGTATCCAAAAAATCCATACTTTGTTCAGAAATATTCGCAGTTAGTTTTACAGAAGGGTGGTGATTATTTAAAATTTCAAAATATTGCCAAAATTTTTTTAAAGACTCGGTCCAAATAATAAAAACATCGTCAAGAAACCTTCCATAGAAGAAAGGTTCAAAAGGGGAAATGGAAGAAATTTCCAGTTCCCACTCAGCCATAAAGATATTTGCATAACTCGGCGCAAATCTTTTGCCCATCGCGGTTCCTGAAGTCTGGAGATAAATTTTTTCATTAAAGACAACGTCATTTCGCGTTAGACATAATTCCAAAAGTTCTAATATTTCTTTGTCGGGTCTATCTACGCAGGGATTTCGAAGAAAGGCCTTTCGGACAGCGCCTAAACCGGTTTTATTATCAATATTGGTATACATACTCGTAACATAGGATTAACCCTAGTGAAAATCAGAAGAATCGAAAAATATTTATAGCAGGAGTTATTGCTCCTGTTCTTGAAAACAGTGCAATTATTAGCTCGTAAACGCCTCGGACAAGACAATTCTCGATGGATTTTGACGAAACTTGGTGTGAGTGCTTGTTATCACTCAAGGATAAACCCTAAAATCGAAAAATTCGTAGTCAGTGGGATTGCCCCTATTCTTGAAAACGTGTTCAAGTTTTAGGCAGTAAACACTCTAGAATGTCCAATTCTTGACAGATTTTGAAAGTTTGGTAATATTATTCAATATCGCCCTAAAAAGTTTGAAAGAAGTGTTTGACTAAAGGTTAAATATTTCATAGCCACTGGTGATTGTTACTTTTACACATCGACGTTGATACTTTGCAGCGTTGGCATAATGCATTTGGTAATGACGAAATTGGTATTTTAAAGCTTCGAGACACTGAATAATTTTGGCAACGTTATACCTCCACCCATGGTAATTATTTGATATGAGATTTACATACCTTTAATTAAGCTAAATGTTACTTAAAGGCAACACTTTTCTCATTATATGCGCAACGGGTGTCTGACTGAAGCACCTGATAGCATGGATACCTTCTATAATTTGTTCTAAATTAGGTCTACTTTGTAGTATATGTTTACATACAAGAACTGTCTTTGACGAATATATACCTTTAAAGGACAAAAATGCAGATGGACGATGGAAAAGATTTGCCAATCTAAATGTACACCCCACTATAATGTGAACGATATGATAGAAAACAACCCCTTGTCCTGAAAGGGACATTCCGTTTTTTTATAGAGTCAAAATATTTTTGAAAAGGCTATAATACTGCAACATAGCCTCTAAAACACATTTAAATCCATTTCTGGACTAAAATGTGATTAGAAGGCTTCGTTGAAATATTATGTCCGTACAACATCATACATGGTTCCGTGGATTTCTTGAAAGGCCTAACTGGTTCATGAACTGTTTGCAGCACCCACTATGTTCTTACTGTAGATGTTGAACAAAATTTTACCGATTATTTAAATGATAAAATTAGCTTCAAAACAATAATGTGACAGTCTTTGACACCCAAACCAGTTTGTATATTCGGTAGCTGATAATCATAAGGTTCTTTCTCTGTAGATTAGAAATCGAGTACTGGACTGTGCTAACCCTTTCGAATCCTCCAAAACTCTGCTTAATTTTGTCGTTCCGATGAAACAGATAAAGTTTTTCTCGATTGGGTTCTGTCTAATTAAAATTCGATCAAATTTCGTTTTTTTATTAGCTTTTATCTCTTGGATATTCGTAAAAACTTTTCAAATTCCGTTCTTCTCCTGCGCTGGCATTTAGTTGTAGATTTGACTGGTTAAAGCAGATGTCATAATCAGATTAGGTCAAAAGGTTATTGTGACGAATGTCTGAATGAAATGAAGTGAAATGAATGGAGTTTTACGTCGTACTTTTCTGCACCATGTATGGGCTAATGAAGACGTCATGCAGGGTACAATGAGGGAAATTTTGCCAGGACAGCGGCAATATAGTAGCCTGCTCAGCACAGCCTGTTGCACACGCGTGTGGGGCCTCGGTTTATTGTCCCGTCGATAGAACTGTCTGACGACAGACGCTTTTTCCATGTCAGCACCTCTCACCTGAATCACTGACAGGGGGAACCAGGTTGAAAAATCCGAAGGTAGGCCTATTATCTCGACCTATGCCGAGATTGAACCCTGAAGTAATTCACTGAGGCGCGGCGTCTGCATGGTCGCCGCTGCGGTGACCGGGCTATGTATGAATGGATATACCGCAAACCGTAGCCTACTCTGTTTGTTCAGGCCTTTAATGTGACCAAATTGCTTGTGACCCAGCTTTAATCCCTTTAGCGATTGGCGAACAAAAGTTCTGTTTTACAGAGATGGGCAAGTATAATTGAACTTCGATCTGCGAAGTAAACATTTCCGCGAAGTAATTTTTCCGCGAAGTAATGCCTGTGACGTAATTTCCCGCCACGGAGGTCACTATCACCACGTTTTCACCTTTACAAAGAACACAATCTATGGTCAGTATTATCTTTTGTATCATTGCCGATGAGTAAATTTAATTTAATTCATTATTCTAATTTGAATGTTTTGGGAACCTGGGTCATCAAAGTCGATAAATTATAAATGAAAATGGATTAGCTTGGCTCGCAGTCGATTTAAAAGAAAGGGATACCCCATTCTATTTTTAGAATATGGGCGTGGTCGGTTGATGATGTTGACCTGACAGATTAATAACATCCGCTGACCAGCATGTCCAGACTTGCCACAATTTAAAGATCTGTTTATGAAAGGATACCCTCTTCATGATGTGGATATGAATTAAGCATTTCTCTTGAAGGGATTGAAGATAAAATAAAGTAAAGTGTATGACAGGATGTACTTAGTCTAAGGTTTGCATAATTTGTCTATATAAAAAGGATAACTTGTGATTTAAAACAGGTACAAACTTGATAGTTATTTTAAACTATAACATCAGACTATTGGAGAGTTTCCAAAAATAATTCATCTTGTGAATTCAAGTCCACTTGTCAAATATCAATAGTTTTCACACACAAGGTTAAGCTGGCAAGATGCTCATAGGAAAAGGTAACATTGAATTTAATTTGAACCAGCTGATGTAAAGCTAACCAAGTAGGCTATTATATCTGGTACTGGTATTTCTTATTTTAACATCACAATTCAACTGTAAGCCTGATAGTTAGGTGAATTTGTAAAAAACAGTGTGTGACATTGAATAACTTTACCTGCATAATATAATGACATTTTCACTAAGGCAAAGGCCCTACTAGTCAGTGTTAGGAATTATACATATAGTATAGACTAGAGCATTTTAATGTTTTCACAATATTTTAACTTTTAATATTTTTCAGACCTAGTAAAGTTAATTTTTCATTTTTTTTTTTTTTTACAGATTTTTTTTCAATGTCAGACGAGAATGAAAAAAATGGAAAAGAAATACGAAAGGTAATTTTTTCCTAGTTCTTGCATCGGTTTATTTGACATGAAAGTGATCAATCAACCATAATAGTAGTTTTCCAATTGGTCCACTCCTTTATTTTATCTTAAACTAATTTACCCCAGGATAGTAGACATACTTGTCTTCTATTTAAATTCTATTTTTAGACTTTGTGAAATATGTATGAAGACCAATGGGGGTTTACAATATAGTTTTTATTGTGAAGCTATAAAACTTCATTGTTCAGTTCAAGCCCCATTCGTTCTATGCATGTAAGAATTTGATAAAGTAGAAAAATATATTAAAAACAAAGAAAGTAAAACTAATTTATAGAAAAAATAATGATTGTGATTCAAGTTGAAGAGGTGATGATATTCTTTAATTCTATATGGCTCTGCTCTGTATATGAGAAAAAGTACAAATCTATTTTTATTTTATTCTCAAAAAATATTGCTTTGACAATATAAGTATGATATTTTCATAAATGACAGATAAGAAACAAGCTGTATTGTAATAATAGCTATCAATATAGTTGTTAATAAGAGCTATCTAACTGTAGCTATATACATGATAACTTGTCTATCCATGTTATAACATGCCTACTAATTGATCACACTGGCACAGGTTCAAATCAATTTTATTGACCTGCTGACAACTTGTCAAATCTTGTAGTCTAACCCTTCAAAATTATCTCTTGATATACCTGAATAACATATGACAATTCTCAGACTCAGTGAACATTGGAAGGGAATGTTGTTAGTGTTAAATACATTTTGTTATTTATAGGATATGCACATTTTAATGCCATCAACTAATCCCATCATGTCCAATATTAATCCACCACCACCGCGTGTAGAGAAATATATTGTAGAAGAGGAGATCACAGTTGGTATACCTTTGGTGAGTTATTTATTAGTTATTAATTAAGGAATTACCTTTTTTAACATTTTTTCAGTTTATTGATGTATAAACAGAAAAAACCTGTGTATACTGTTTAAATCCGTGTATCGGTTTATACATAAGTGTACACGTTTTTTTTCTGTTTATACATCGATAAACTGAAAAAATGTTCAGGTCATTCCTTATAATTAAATCAACTCGAATACATGTTTAAATATTTATCTACAATAGTATCAAACTAAGGCACAAAATTGGCGCATGAATACATAACATTTCAACATAATGTTAATGAACTGATACTAACAATAGAGATGTCCTACAGAACAGCCAATCAGCAATAAGTAGGTCACCTATTTATAGTCTATTGTCTACTGCTTGAAAGTTGATGGAGCGGGCACATTTAAAGTTCAATTATTGAAAGACGAGTTGGAAATAAGTCCAAAAATCATGATTTTGTTGATATTTGGAGTGCACATTTGAGGGAATTAGGAAAATACCGTAATCATTCAGTGAAGTGTAGATTTCGGCTCTGGTGACGTTCGAAGGAAAGACATTGATGCTGTGTAGTGGCCACGTCAATCAAACTCAGTGATAAAAGTAGTCCATTAAGGGGTGGAGCTTATATTTACATTCCGATATAAATCGATTTCACGTGACCGCTGTTATCCAATCAAATTGCGTGATACCGTGTAAATGGAATTGTGATTTAATTAATTGTTATATGTCATTCTACACATCTCAAAATGATCTTAGCTCTAGAAAAAAGCTGTCCTAAAAACAGTGTTAAAATTTAAGACCCTAGGACATCCTAGCTCAAGATCGTTTTGAGAATATATTTGCTGTTTGAACTTAAACATGCAGTAACTCTGTTGATATAATCAATCTTTTAAGGGCTTATCTCACTGGTTACTCAGGTGACTCAAGTGACCATCAAATGGTGAGACTGCTGTCTCACCAAGGCGATGAGACTTCACTGGTCGCTATACAGGATGACAACCAATTCACCTGAAAGTCAACGACGTCATTATCAGTGCCCACTAACGCAGGCCAAGTAACGTCATGGACGCATAACAGAGACCCTGCTGCAACGTAGCTGCAATGACTCCATGGTCTCTAACAGGTCTCAGAGAAATCTTTTTGTACAGACATATTCAAACATATTCGAAAACCTCGCGACTAACTAGACACCTGGTTAGTCTTCAGGAGACGTCATGGAGACATCTGCAGAGACTCAAGTCACCAACTAATCGCCAACTAGTTTCCAGACCAGTGAGAAACTGATCCATGTAATGCTTAATTTCTCTGAAATGACAAGAAATACATAAATATTAAGGTTTATTTCAGTAATTATTGAGCATGTCTCGACAAGACTCTGAATTTTAACTTTGAACCAAACTTTGATGTATAATTTCAGAAGTTTTTATGTGTTTAAGATATTAACTTTTATGTTATAGGTTAGACCAAAAGAGGCCTTTTTAAATGTTCTTAGATTGGCAGGGGCTAAAGTTGAAGTATTCACCAGGCAAGAAGTAGGTTTTTAAATCTTATAAAAGCAGAAATCAACACAGAGGATGAATTTCATAATGGATTGCCAGTAGGCCTAAATCTCTTAATAGTAAAGAGGACACTTAAACGATCTCTTAATCACTTAAAGAATCTAAACTTCCTGTAATTCTTCGAAAGAAAAACATTAAATGACGTTTGAGTGAAAATGGCTATTTGGAATCAGACCAACAGAAAATAGGAATGGTGCAATTAGAAACTATGTACAAGGCACTTGAAATGTACAAATTTCTAGTGATGGCTTCCTTTATATGTTGATATGCAATGCAAAAGATAATTGTCACTGACAGATAGTAATATAATTAAATTGTGAGATTGTGGTTAAGGTGTTATTCTTAATTGAGTTAAATTCCACATTTTTGCAAATTGTTTTAATGTTTTCTTTTATTATCAACATACCAAGTCTTGAGAAAGAGAAAGTTGACAACTGAATGACCTAGGGCATTTTAAATAAGAAAGATCTTAATTTGATATTGCCTGGTGATTCTTAGAAGCAATGAAAATCTAATTTGTTTTTGTTTTAAGCTTTATAGATACTGGTAAACAAAACTTTAGATTCTTGAGAAAAGAAGGAAATATGGACAGGTAGAAATGGGTGTCAATGATACATGGGTGTATAAAAATAATGATATATTTTTTGTATTAAGAACACAGGATATATGTTTTTTTGTATTAATATTTTTAGATTGGTCAATATTTAAAAGATTATATTGGTGGTAGAAAGTTATATGATCCCACAGATCCTAGAATAGTTTATTGTGATAATGATCCATTAGAAAAAGCTTTTAATGTTACCAAATTTACTTTAGACAATGTCATGTAAGTAAACATTCTATTGTTGTAATGATGATAGGCTAAATGATCATTTAGTAAAGAGAATTTACATATGAATTTTCTGTTGATATTTTGATTGAGATTGATTGGAACTATGTGGATCTAATTGGTAATTTTCAAATTGATGACACAAAAAGATCATTGATAATTTAAGTCATACAAATCAGCATCTAATAATGGAGATAAAGCATTAAATTTTGTAAAGATGTATATATTATTGTCCATCAAATCTGGCTATTTTCATAGATTTGGCATCTTTGCTATCTGGAACATTATCTCATGAAAGTATTTACTTTGCTCTCTTGATCTGTAGTAGTAGTTAAGTTAAGTTGAGTGTCTGGACCTGTTGAATGAATAATTAATTAATTTATTTACTATTTATTAATTACAGGGATTTAATCAATAAAAATGTAAGTCTAGTACCTGATACTTGTATTAAACGAATGAGACAGATGGTCTATAGAACAATGACTGTTACATCACCAACTACTAAATCTAATACAGATAGTACTAGGTCTACACAGGTTAGTATTGATCATGTGGTGCAGTCATCTATACATCTAGATATCTGATAAAACTTTCAGTCTAATTAAAATAAAACCAAACTTTCTTTTCATTTTTTAATCTTTTTTTTCATTATAGCCACTTCAGTTAGGGTCTAAAGACTGGCCTCTTAAACATACGTTAAAATAGCCTTTTGACCTAACATGATGACCTTTGCTTAAGCAATCAAATTTCTGAGTGAAGGAATTTGATTGGTTTAAAGCAGGGGTCATCAGGATAAAAGGTTAAAAGGTTATTTTGACGAATGTTCAAGAGGCCTGTCTTTAGACTTTCATTGAAGTAGCTATCTTGAAAATAAAAGCACATGAATATGTGGTCGTATATTGTCGTCGCCCCTGTCCGTCGGTCCGTACGTCGGTCCGTCCGTCAACATTTCTTGTGAGCACTATAGAGACTACAGTTTTTATCTGATTTTGATAAAACTTGGTGTGATGCTTTAGATTGATAAGATCTCGGTCAAGTTCGAATTTGACATATTTTCGATTAAACGGTTTTTATACGCCCACATGAATATGTGGTCGTATATTGTCGTCGCCCCTGTCCGTCGGTCCGTCCGTCCGTCAACATTTCTTGTGAGCACTATAGAGACTACAGTTTTTATCTGATTTTGATAAAACTTGGTGTGATGCTTTAGATTGATAAGATCTCGATCAAGTTCAAATTTGACATATTTTCGATGAACGGTTTTTGAGTTATTGCCCTTGACTTTGTTAAAACGCGTCGAAATTTGTTTAAAATAGTTCGTGAGCAGGATTGAATCTACACTTTTCAACCGATTCTGAAGAAACTTGGTGTGATCATTGGAATTGATAAGATCTCGGACAAGTACTAACATGACGCATTTTCGATGAACGGTTTTTGAGTTATTGCCCTTGACTTTGTTAAAACGCGTCAAAATTTGTTAAAAATAGTTCGTGAGCAGGATTGAAGCTACAGTTTTCATCCGATTCTGATGAAACTTGGTGTGATCATTGGAATTGATAAGATCTCGAACAAGTTCTAACTTGACGCATTTTCGATGAACGGTTTTTGAGTTATTGCCCTTGACTTTGTTAAAACGCGTCGAAATTTGTTTAAAATAGTTCGTGAGCAGGATTGAAGCTACACTTTTCAACCGATTCTGAAGAAACTTGGTGTGATCATTGGAATTGATAAGATCTCGGACAAGTTCTAACATGACGCATATTCGATGAACGGTTTTTGAGTTATTGCCCTTGACTTTGTTAAAACGCGTCAAAATTTGTTAAAAATAGTTCGTGAGCAGGATTGAAGATACAGTTTTCAACCGATTCTGAAGAAACTTGGTGTGATCATTGGAATTGATAAGATCTCAGACAAGTTCTAACAAGAGATATTTTTAATGAACATTTTTTGAATTATTGCCCTTGACTTTGTAAACAAGCGTCAAAAGTTGTTTTTTGCCCTTGATTAGAGCTGTGTGATTTAATTGTTTGTTGTATTTGTGTTATTGTGGAATTATTCAGCATAAATAATTTCTTCAATATGAGAAAATTCGTACTTTAGTCACTAAAGACTGTTTTATTATTTCTGACAGCTGCCAGTGGGCGTATGTTACCTTGCAACGCAAGCTATCTTTATTCAATCTTGATGAAACTTGGTATGCAAAGTTACAAAATGGTAATAATTGGATGAACAGTGTCTGAATTATTGCCCTTGACTTAATGAAAACGCATCAAGCTTGGCTTGTATTCACGATAAAGACGACAGTTTTTATTTGATCTTGATAAAACTATGCATGTATATATTGATGCGATCTCGGTCAAGTTTGAAAATGGTAATAATCGGATGAATTGTTTCAGAGTTAATGCCCATTGACTTGTAAAAATGCATCAAATTTGGCTCGTAAACACAATAGAGGCTACAGTTTTTAACTGATCTTGATGAAACTTAGTATGCATGTATATGTTGATGAGATCTCAGTCAAGTTCGAAATTTGTATTAATTGGATGATCAGTGTTGGAGTTATTGCCCTTGACTTAATATAAATGCGTCAAATTTGGCTTGTAGGCACTACAGGTTTTAACCGATCTTAATGAAACTTGGTATGCATGTATATATTGAAGTTCAAAATGGGTAATAATCCGATGAGTAAATGCCCTTGTGTGTACGTCGATGGGACCATGTTCATATTTGAATTTGGATGATAATTTGATGTATCTGTTTTTGAGGATTTGCCTTGACTTTTAAGAATTTTAAGATTATTTCAATCTTTATAAGTTCATTATTAAGTCACCAAAGACTTTGCTAAAATTCTGACAGCTGGTACTGGGCATATGTTACCTTGCCTGGCAAGCTATCTTTATTAGACTGATAAAACATTTAGCTATATCCTTTCAGATTGAAAATTCAACAACAGTTACAGCTGTAACAGCAAAATATGAAAGTACATGTAATTGCTTTTCAGCGTAATAAAGTTAAATCATTTTCGGGGTTTATTTGTGTCTTGAATTGAATATAATATGTAAACAGTCTTCAAAAAGTACTAGTAATAGAATATAACAGAACATTTATATTATTTGTATAATGCTATATTTTCAGGTCAATGAGAACCTAGCATGTAATACAACACATAGTATTAAACCTAGTCCAATTACAAGTACAACAACATCACAGGAAGATAAAATTAATACAACAACATCAAATATCAATGTATCTGATGCTGAACATAAAAGAAATATACCTGCAGATACAAAACAAACAGACACTAAAGAAAATGATTCAAAGTCAACAGAATCTAAAAACAGTAGTTCTGATAGAAAAAGAAAATCAGGTAATTAGAAAATTATCAGACAACTCTTAAGAAATAAACTCTCATGGGTCTGTAAGTATATCAGCTAAAACAGTTCTTAGTCTATATTGTCTTCAATATCAAAAGATACTCTCTTGGATTGCTTTAATAAAAGATCCTGAGTAAGTACATGATTTCTTAAATCTATAGTATTTTGTTCCTGTTTGTTTTCACATGGAAAATGTTTATTATTTCCAGATAGTTCTAGTGGTTATGCTGATGGTCCTCCATTGCGTAAAAGAAGAACATCTCTTAATGTAACGTTTAGTGATAATGAATCAGCCTCCTATCCCTGGTATTTTCAAGTTCAAGTAGAAGATGAAACAGATAGTGAGAAGGTATTTGTTAGTTTTGATTTGGTTATTTCATATATAGCTTCTATATATACTATCATAGAAAGAGTCGATTATTGATAGAAACAGGTGCCTATGCTTCTATTCCATTAAAATTTACATGTTAGAATCTGTAGTATTGCATTAAGTTGTAGCTTATATAGATAATTTTCAGTGAAAAATTCACCTTTTATATAGGCCCCTACATTTATCAAATTCTTTGTCATCTCCAAGGTCTCTGTCAAATTTCTGCACGGCTAAATTCTTCAAACCTTGGACCAGATATGACATTTGGATCCCAATACCTATTTGGACACAATTACATTAAATTTGGTTTAAGTATTGCTACCTGTACTTGGTAATTTATAGGAATATCAGTCTAATTATAAGAGAATAAGTCTGTCTGTGTATCACATGGAGATTGTGAACATGTGCTTCTGTCAGCCTCAGAAACTCTTGCAGCCTCATCCTCAAAGGAAAGTGAATTGCTACATCAGTAATATTATTATTCTCTAATAATAATAAAAAGCCCATGTTAATTGTGTTGATGAAATTGTATTAGTACGTAGTAAATATGCTTGATTACAGGAAGAAAGAGAAAAGAAAGAAGATAATATAAATGATATGTGGTTAGTAGAAGAAGATACTATATCAGTACAATATGATTCCGATGCTTTTACTATAGAATATGATGTTGACTCAATATCCAGTACTAAATCTGATAGTGATAGTATTTCTATACACTCAGGAAAGGTCAGCAGTTTTACTTTTTAAGATATATATTGTCCAATTTAATCTTATTCTTGCAATATGTTAGTGGCTCGGGGAGTTAGAAATTGCTCATAAAGCAAATATTTTCAATCACAGTTTAGGTAGAGATGGTCCTGGTATTTCAATCTGGATACTTTTTGCCAGTGAGGCAGGAAACAAAGTTGACCTGTATTGTTTAATGCATATCTTACAAATAAATGGAGCATTATTCAGCAGTTTGAAAGCAAAAAAGTGTCACTGGCCTTTTTCAACAAACACTCCTTATGTTGCCTGTTTTAGACCTATAATTTCAGTTTCATTTCAAATTTCCTATAACACACAAGTGAACTATTGACTGTAATTTTTAAAATTGTGTGCCATGCTTTTCAGAATATATCTTCATGATTCTATGAGCTCTCAGAAGACCATTACTGATTATTATGATAAATAATATTGATATTATAGGATATATTTGTCATCTGTAATGATAGTGATGTAGAATTCTGGGCTGATTCTAGTGGCAGTGATGATGATTCAGATCCTGAAATACCAGACTCAGTAAGTTACTTTATAAAGATTCCTGGAACTATTCCACACAAACAAATTATGTAAGACACACCCTGAGTTTAAATTGGGAAGTGTTAAATTTATTACAAATAATAGTCCCTTACTAAGAATATTAACGCCAACACTGTATTTTTCAGGATAAATGGTCATGTGAAGAATGTCTAGAGAGAAACACTCCTAAACAAGCTTATTGTGATAAATGTTGGAAAATGAGGCCTGGATGGTTTTCTGGAAAGGAAAAACGCAAACCAACTTTTAAATCCTCCTCTAGGTCATTATCTGCCCATGTTAGTATTTCATCATCAGAGAGTAGTGATGGTTGTTTAAATGTGAATAATCCCTCCTCCCATACACCTAGCTTATCATCTTCAGACAATACATCTCCCTTACATCCACATATACTACCATTATATAAAGATGATTCCGGTATTAGTTTAAACTCCACTCAACCTTGCAGTCAAGAGTTACTCAGTCAAGATAAGTGTTCAAGTCTAGAAACATTGAGTTCAGTAAGTTCTTCTTCCATAGTGTTAAATACTTTATCTAACTTTCAAGTTGTAAACAAACCCCAATCTGTGTTCAAAGATAAACAAATAAATAGAAAACAAGTGACAGAAAGTGATAAATTCTCTTCTACACCAATTTTATCTTCATATTGTTCACCAAAGAAAATCTCCTCTAAAGGTGCAACAAATAAAGGCGATAAAGAAAAGACCGCTGATACAGACTTGTGTGTTGTTTGTTTATCCAGACCTAAAACTGGTAGTATTATACATGGTAGCTCTGGACATCAAGTGTGTTGTTTTAAATGTGCAAAACAATTAAAGCGAAAGAAGAAAGCTTGTCCAGTCTGCAGACGACCAATACAGAAAGTTATTAGGAATTATTTATTGTAATTTGGAAACTTTAGCCATAATAACATCAGTTATTTAATATTTATTTTCAATCCTTGCCAAGTAATGTAGATTTTAACTTAAAGTGTAATTATTATGGTACAATGTGTGCATTTTCAAACACCTTGCTGGTAGGATTTGTATTCATTCTCTAGACATTTCATATAGCTAATATCCTTTGGGAAAACATAAGTGGATACTGTTCTGATTGCAATTCTAGGAAATTTGGTATGTATACTAGAGAGATCTTAAAGTGCTGTTAATGATAGTTTTACATATAACTGCTAGTAGTAACTACCGGTACTCTGAAATAATCTAAATTGACAAACTTGACTTTTAAATGATAATGACCACAATTCTTATTCTAATCAACCATATTGTCTGCTGTGTACTTTATACACTGTGAGCAACTGCACTTATTATAATATCAAATTCCATGCATTTCATCTATTTTATTAATCAAAACTGATCACATATATTGTATGTCATATAATGTTCATTAAATCAAATTTTAATAAAAAGTCCAATATGTATACTGTGATCTGTGAAAAAAAAAAATGATCTGTTTTATTAAAAAAAAATAAGAAGAGCTTTCATAATCGGCAAGTGCAATGTTTTAAATAAATTCTATTGCAGATCAAATCTTGTCATTTATTTATCCTTATTACATGTAAACTATTATTTGTCCCTCGAATGTGTGCCAGTTATATGTATTTAGATATATTTGGAAAGCACTTGAGTCTGTTTTCTTCTCTTTTATCCGGGAGCTGCGGTGGCTCAGTGAGTTAGACGCTTGCTCGCTAACCTGAAGGTCCAGGATTCTATCCCGGCATAGGTCGAGATAATACCTTCGGATTTTTCAACCCGGTTTCCCCCTGTCAGTGATGCAGGTAAGAGGGGCTGACATGGAAAAAGCGTCTAGTCGGTTCGGATGGGACAATAAACCGAGGCCCCGTGTGCTACAGACTGTGTACGTTTAAGATCCCTCAACAGTTGGAAATCGAAAAAGAGCAGGCTAATGCCGCTATCCTGGCAAAAGTTCCTTCATCGCACCCTGCATGGCGTTGCCCGTCTTCATTAGCCCACATGGTGCAGAAAAAAGTAGGAAGTAATACTCCATCTATTTCATTTCGTTTCTCTTTTATCCAGTGTTTTTCCTGAGTGTTAGTATCAAAATTAACTTGTGAAAGCTCAGATGATTCTAATATGTTGTAATGTTTACACATTTAGAACTGTAGGAATATACATACTTATGTTCATGACAGTGATCCATACAACATTTTAAAGGAGCATTCCGCTTTTGTATAACAGTTTTATTATCAAAAACGTCGTAAATTACTGATAGGCTTAAACCTGAATATATTTCTAAAAAAATGCTATTTAGGCCATACAAAATAAATAGTCTGATTTACAGGCCCCGCGCTCCAAATCTATTTATTGACATTTTGAAGTAATTAATTAATAATATGTTAAATAGAGTTATGTCCCCTTCCCCTTGAATATTTTAATAGAATTATTTTCGTAAAATTAGTTTAGAACGGGTTTTTTTTATATGCCCATATGAAATGGGGGGGCGTATATTGCTGTCACCTCTTTCCGTCCGTCCACAATTGCTCATAACCACTCTACAAGGCACAATTCTTGACTGATTTCGACGAAACTTGGTATGGTTGTTTGTAATCACCTAAGGATGAACCCTATTGAAAATCAGATGAGTCGAAAAATATTTACTATGAGTTATTGTCCTTGTTCTTGAAACGCTCGTAAACACTCTAGAAGGTGCAATTCATGACAGATTTTGATGAAACTTGGTATGAGTGTTTGTTATCGCCCAAGGATAAACCCTATCGAAAATCAGAAAAATTGAAAAATATTTAGTATGAATTATTGCCCTTGTTTTTGAAAACGCGTTCAATTTTAGCTTGTAAACACTCTAGAATGCACAATTCTTGATGGATTTTGACGAAACTTTGTGTGAGTGTTTGTAATCACCCAAGGATAAACCCTATCGAAAATCAGAAAAATCGAGAAAATATTTAGTATTAGTTATTGCCCTTGATCTTGAAAACTCGTTCAATTTGTAGCTCATAAAAACTCTAGAAGGCATGATTCTTGCTGAATTTTGACAAAACTTGGATTTATTATTCATTACCGCGCTGAAGATTGAATATTTGTCTTCTAGAGTTTTCACCAGCTAAAGATTGAGCACGTTTTCAAGAACTAGGCAATAACTCATACTCAGTATTATTCAGTATCGCTCTAAAGAGTTCAAAAGAAGTGTATGACTGAAGGTTAAATATTTCATACTGGTGATTGTTACTGTACTGCCAAATATTTATGTTCAAAATCAAAGCTGCCAGTGGGCGTATATTACCTTGCCTGGCAAGCTATCTTATACATGTATGCCCACATGAAATGTGGAGCGTATATTGCCGTCACCCATGTCCGTCGGTCCATCGACAATTGCTCAATTGCTCGTAAACACTCTACAAGTCACAATTCTTTACGGATTTTGACGAAACTCGCTGAAATCGTTTATTATCACCCAAAGATGAACCCTATTGAAAATCAGAAAAATCGAAAAATATTTAGTATGAGTTATTGCCCTTGTTCTTGAAAAAGCGTTCAATTTTTAGCTCATAAACACTCTACAAGTTACAATTCTGACGCATTTTTACGAAACTTGGTGTGAGTGTTCGTAATCACCCAAGGATAAACCCTATTGAAAATCAGAAGAATCGAAGAATATTTAGTATGAGTTATTGCCCTTGTTCTTGAAAACCAAAAACCATAACAAGTTTTGTCGAAATCAGTCAACAATTGTCCCTTGTAGAGTGTTTCTGAGCAATTGTGGATGGACTGATGGACATGGGTGATGGCAATATACGCCCCCCATTTCATGTGGGCGTATAAAAAGCGGAATGTCCCTTTAATTATTTCAAATCAAAATCGAATCGGCTAAGATTCTGAAAAACTGGACATATAAACTTATAATGACATCCCATTTTTCTGGCGGGATCTCATAATATCTTTCATATAAAATCCCAGTGTTTAATCCTATACATAATGCAAAATGGCCTTGGGATATTCAATTGGTGTTGGGGAAAAGATACAATTGGACAAAGTTTGATTTATATTTATTTTTCAATAAATAAGAGAATAATGTGAGAGCACAAACAACCAGTGAATGTAAACACAAACATTGAGCAGCAAATAAAACAGCAGTTGTGGTTTCAGATTTACATACAGAGATTGGTTTTTTGATGTCTTAAGACTAAAATTAATTCACATGTTATTAATTCATAATAGAAATTACTGAGCAGAATTCCTACAACTCTTTAGTTTACAAAATACTTTGCAAAGAAACTATACCAAAATCTGCATTTTATATTTTATAACATGGAAGTGTACAGACTTTGATTCTCGAGAAATACATTGAATAGTAGGGTACACAATCCCCATCATAACATCAACTAGCACTTGTGTGGTGATATACAATATTTTAAATTTTAAACAAAACCGACTGAGCATGGTATACTACAATAAGAAATAAATATTGTGTATTGCAACATTATTATATAAGTCAAATATCACTTTGTATCAAAATACACTTTATTGCAGATATATGTACATCTTAATAGAGAATCTTATAGAAAAAGAAAAACAACCATAAACAAAGCAAAATTTATAACATACAATAAGAAAAGATAATATAACTGTAAGCAGTCATTGACGTCATGAAAATTGTCCCTGTCACCTCATGTACATACCATAGTGAGTACCTTAAGAAAATAATTGTTTAGGTAGTTTGTCTAAACTGATCCAAATTCATTCATCCATTTCTCATATTTCTCTAAATCTTCTTTAGAAACACTCTTGTTGACTTTAGATATAGCTTCTTCAAAATCTTCTACAGTGGCTGGTGAGATTAATTCTTCTTTAGGAATGTTTCTTATTTCATCTGGTCTCAGTCCTCTTATTCTCTTACGGAATGACATCATAGCAGTATCTCTATAATAGATTCAATCAATGTGGATAAAATTATCTATTATAGCATTACAGACTCATGGTGAACATTCCTTCTACCAAAATTGCTCTACCAAATGTTAAGGTGGCTATTGAAAAAAAAGCTTTGGCTCATTCATGGGGGAAATTGTCAAATTCAAATTTCAACTTCCATAAAAGTAATCAGAGGAAGTTACCAACAAAAGTAAGACAGGATTTATGTTTACTAACCTACAAACATTAGTAATATCAGCACCAGAATAACCATCTAGTTTCTCTGCTATATGATGTAAATTTACAGTATCTGCTATTTCTACCTCTCTTAGATTAATTTTTAATAGTTCTACTCTTCCTTCAACTGAAAGATACCAGTACATTATTATTGCCTTAAAATACTACCTCACATTAACAACTTAAGACCAATCTGATACCTCTCATTAAGAACTTAAGACCAATCTGATACCTCTCATTAACAACTTAAGACCAATCTGATACCTCTCATTAAGAACTTAAGACCAATCTGATACCTCTCATTAACAACTTAAGACCAATCTGATACCTCTCATTAAGAACTTAAGTACAAATTGTTACCTCTCATTAACAACTTAAGTACAAACTTAAGTACAATTTGTTACCTCTAATTAACATCTTAAGTACAAATTGTTACCTCGCATTAACAACTTAGGTACATAATGATACCTCTCATTAACAACTTAAGTACAAGTTGTTTCTTCGCATTAACAACTTAAGTACAAAATGATACCTTACAGTACTAAATGATACTTCTTCTGAAGTATACAATGATGCCTTTCATAATAACAACTTGATATATCATTTTAGAGTAACATATTACTGTTAAAACCAACCTGTAGGGAGAGGAATGTATATTCTCTTCTCTAAACGTCTTCTTAAAGCTTCATCTAAATCCCAGGGGAAATTAGTAGCTGCTAAAACCATGACAGTTTTAGATGGATCTTCGCCGCAAACACCACCAACACCTAAAATACATCAGATGATATTTTTTGCATCAAAATGGACCCATCTCGTAGAAGACTAGAAATAAATATTGAAATCATAAATTTTGAATTTTTTTATCGTCTGTTTTGACTTTTTAGGGTTTGTAAATTTCATTCGACTAAATGAAATGGATGTTCTAAGAAAAGTATATAAGCTTACACTGTTGTATATTACTATTGCATACGTGCCATTCTTGAGATTTTATTTTTTTATTTACTAAAAGTCTGACCGAAAAAGGTGAAAGATACACATACCATCCATTTGAACTAGAAGTTCAGATTTAACTCTTCTACTGGCCTCATGTTCAGAATCTGAGCCTCGTTTAGAACAAATAGAGTCTATTTCATCCACAAATATTGTACTTGGTGCATAAAATCTTGCCTATAATAATAACATTAATATAAATTATTGTACTTTATATGAAGTATATCCACTTCAATTCAGCTGCAATTTCCTCCAGAACATCAATTTTGATAATATTGAGACTCAAAATTCCATCAAATTTTTACTGTGTCAACATCATTCATATTTTTGAATACTTTATAATTTTAGACAGGATATTTCAATTTTTCTTCATTTAGCTATTTGTAATTACATAACTATTGAATAATGATAAAATCTACAATATAATAAAATATCTTCTGAAAGTATTGAAGCTATGAATATAGTTCTAGGGAAGGGATAAGATAAGAAAAGATAATCACATTTTGTTCCAACCTTCAAGGAACTAATTTATGTTGCTAAATGGTAAAACAGAAGTATAAAATAGGTACAAAAAGCATACAAAGCCAATCAAAATATTCAAATATGTTTCTCATTAATTTCTTATTCCATTGATTTAAAGAAACTATGACACTATTATTATAAGTATTGAAATATAACTAGTTGACTTTATTTTGTATTTTACTACAGTAACAAGGTGAAATTCATTCCAAACTGAACACACTGTGATCATTTCATTCTGTGGGAATTAACACTACATTGAAACTCTGTGACTTTCAATCTTTCTTATTATCTTAATTACATGAAAACAAAATATCAAAACAATCCAACCAAATTACTTGTGCACATCCTGGTGTAATTCAAAACATAATCATGAAGAGTCTACCTATTGAATCTATTGTTATTTGCGGTAGAATAAATAGTAATTGGAAGTGTGTTCTTTACTATTTAACTACCTATCTAAAATATAAGGTGCTGCCCATGCTCATGTTTCAAATTATATTTGAATGATGTGTACAAATATTTGTCCTCTACTATAAATACTGATTAATAATGTTAGTAGTACAGTGGTAGACAGAAAAGCTATAATAACTAGCAAAGTGAATATATTAATATATTAAACACCACATGCTACCACCTACCATCTCAAATAATATTCGAACTAATTTTTCAGATTCACCATGATATTTTGAAGATAAGCTTGATGTTGATACATTAAAGAATGTTGTTCCACATTCTGTAGCCACAGCCTTTGCTAGTAGAGTTTTTCCTGTCCCTGGTGGACCAACCATCAGCACTCCCTGATGATAGGAGAGAAAATAATGGCATGCAACAAGTTTAGATAGTTATAACATGAATACAAGGCTTACCATTTCAAACAGAAGACGTACAAGTTTCTCTGATTCACCACGGTATTTAGATGTTAAACTCGAAGTAGATACATTGAAAAATGTTGTACCACATTCAGTAGCCACAGCTTTAGCTAGAAGTGTTTTGCCAGTTCCCGGTGGCCCTACCATTAACACCCCCTACAAAAAACCGTTTTCTCTTTCCAAATTTTTACAAAAACAAAAAAAATAATAAAACAATATATTTATATAATAACACTCCATCTTCCATAGAAAAATCTACTAGAACTATGGGTAATTCATTCTATTTAGCTGTGATTACATGCGAATGCAAACTAAAACTCATACTCAACCTCAATAAAAAAACAGACTAGGGCTGGGCAATATTGGTTATAGTTGATATCAACATATTGGGTATATATCGCAATATTTATTAAGTATGGTTTTCACTGGTTTTTTATACAAAATGTTGTTTTTTTATCTAGAAATTTTAAGAGTAAGAAAAAAACAATTATTATCTCTTAAAAACACCCCAAATTTTAATATCATGATAAAAACATCTGTTTTAAATATTAAGTTACTTAACTCATTACTGTGGGGGATTGTCCTCTCCTTCATTGTTTCCTGACCCAACACCATGCAGTTTCCCTTTTAGGTTGACAGGCTCATTGTATGGAAACATGGAATCACATTCTGAGTTTGAGTTATGTTTACATACACATGTAAAACTAGCTTTAATCATTTCAAAAACACTGTATCAGAAAAGTAAACATAGAAATATACCAACCTTCCATGGTCTACGAATTCCCTTGAAGAAATCTGGTACAATGAGAGGTAAAACAACAGCCTCCTCTAATAACTTTTTAGCTTCTACTAAATCAGCTATATCATCCCTATAACATATAGAATTATTTACTATTATACTACTTGATGTAGCAAATATAGCAAATATTTCATTGTGTTATTTTATTATTTCATTTCATAAAATAATTAATTACCAAATGTGGAGAAATCCTCTCTCCTGCGTTGGAGTTCATTTTAGTTTGAATGGCACAGCAGCAAAAAGCAGCAAAACGTGTTCAATTTTTTTTTTCAAGTATATTTTCTTATTTCTACGATAGATTATAAACTATGGATAGCTCTCAGTTCGAAAATTTAATGAGCTATTTGCCGCAGATGACAACTACTCCATTGTCGGCTGATTCTAGACAGAATTTACGTTCTAAACCGATGGAAACTACCATCAACGAAATACAAGCCGCTGCCAGTGCCATTCCTAAAAAGTTCGTAAAATGACTAAAGCAGAATTGATTGAGCAAATCGCTGAATTACAGGAAAACATTGATACGAGATTATCAAAACTTGACCTTTCACACCAGCCCCCCAGATTGACATCAACGGTACCTTGCAATAAATCTACACCAAAGCCCTCCACAGCACCTATGAATATGATGATGGAAGATAGGCCTACTACTGAAGTTACAGTTAAAAATCTACAGGCAATTCCAGAAGTCAAATCATCTGTAGCTGCTCAACTAGACTCGATGCCAATAATTGGTCATGCTGATACCAGAATTTTACCTGATAGGCCTAATCCTAACGAGTTTTACAGAAGTAGTGCAGCCAGTTTAGGCCTATTACAAGATCACGATACCGCAGTGCCAGGTAAGCCTAGAAAAAAATCTGGCATGGACCTGGAAAGTCAGGAAAATATAGTCAATACTGTTTATTGGCCTCATGCTTTACAAGTGAAATTGCTCATATTGTCAAGAACAGAAAAGCTCAGAT